ATTTTATCTTTCCAACACCTATTCTGCAGCCCTGACTCATCCTCACAGACAGTTTTACAATTCACACAGTGGGACATGCAACCATAACAAATGACACGGCATTGTTAGGGACACAGACACTAATCTGAACTGAGGATAGGACCAATGATTCTTGTGTCCTAATGCCCTGTCAGTGACTTTAAAGGTTCTGTTAGTGTGATTGTTCTTACAACAATTTGTAAGCCTGTTACTTCAATGTTCAGACAGAAGCCTTTATGTTGAGTGTTCAAAATGTGTACAAGAAACAAGTTCTGTTGTCTCCTTTGCATTTAGAATCACATAATCTGTGCATTTCAACAGCAAGAAGAAATCCAGTTGTCTTATAATTACCGACTTAAGGTTGTCAAGTCCTGGTTGATCTAAGAATCTGCACCAGCAAACAGAATTAACCTTTCGTTTGCAAAGATCATCCAATTCTAACTTGTGTTATTGTTGTGGTGTTGTTAAACAACATCAGGTGCATAGATCATACCTGAAAGGAGAAAGTAATAGAACAAGAATAAGGAGCAGCTGGTGGTTGGTGACTTACAGGGAATGTGGTCCAGCAGGTCTTCAAAGGAACCAGAAGTTGGATGAACTGAGGCATTGAGAGTAGACATGGTGGAGACGATGTGGATGGGTTGATTGGTGACTATTAGCTTTGACGATCCAGCTTTTGTTTGAGCCCATGATTTTGATGCTCTATGTCCCCGAATCAAAGATCTTGATGGCTGATGGACTGCAGGCATTTTGAAGACATCTAACAGCAAGAGATATGAAAAAACTTAAGACTCTGCTTCACACATTAAGAAAAGATAATGGCAGTTATTTTCCTTAATAATTTATAATTTCATTCATATGTGTCTTTAAATGAGGGCAGTCCAACCATCATTAGAAAAAAAGAATTTAAAAAGTGGTAGAAAATAAAGCATGTCTCTTTAAATCTAGGATTTCACTGTCTGAGACATACTAGAAATCATACATTTTTACCTGATTTTACAATTGTTTGCACTAAATTCAAGTATGCTAAGATTCCTGGTTGTTTATTAATTATTAAGTATTTATTTATTGTCAATATTGTGGCAATCGTATGGCCATCTTTAAAAGTGAAAACTTTGGTAAAACCAGCACCATACATGCTAACATGCATGGTTGGAATTCCAGTCATCAGCCTCCACCCTGAATAATCAACAAGCAAACCATTAACCTGTAGTCTGATCAATTCATTGATAAAATTCCAATAGAACTAAACTCTTTAAATAATTAATCAAAAGATTTTGAACTAGTTCTTGTTTTTGTTTATTTAAGGGACACTGCACATCACATCACATGCCAGAGTTAGCCATAAAGGCTAGTTTTCATCTGTTGTCCCTCCAGGTATAATAAATGAAAATACAACATATTACAGTGCAATATACAGCTTAACTAGTTTCTTCCAAAAAAAGAGAATAATACAAATAATAAATAAATAATAGCAATTTTTATTTATAATTTAGTCTTCACTTTTATTATGCAGATCCTGTTTTAACTTGTTAACATAAACCTTTTATTTTATTCTCACCATATTTTAAAATTCTAGTTTGTTTTTTTTAAATAGTAAATTATGTAGTATATGAAAGTAATACTTACAGAGTGATTCTTTGAAAGAATGAAATATGATGATGTTTGTTAACATGTTACAAATGATATTAATACAACTTAAAATCTTAGTTATCCATTATTTGTGTAAAAAATGGAGGAACATTCATACCTTCTGCTCCTGGTTAACAGGTGCGTCTATGTTTGTGGTTTTACAAAACAATTTATTTTTCCTCTCTCCAGTTGTTGACAGTCCTAGACTGATTCCTCACAAGGGAGAACAAAAAATACCTAACATAACTACTAGAATTTTTTTAATTAGACAAACCCAACCTATTCTAACTTTTTAGCAGCTATTTTCTCAGTTTCTATTCATACAGCCAGTAAACTCCCATGTGAAATAAACAGTATTTCATAAAATAAAACCAAAACTAGGGAGTAACTTCAATGTAATACTCACTTATGGGTTTCATAGATAAGTCCACATCTTCATTTTTCCTAACGACTGCTTCTGAGGTCTCTCACTCTGAGTAAAAGAAAACTTGTGTCAGAGTGAAAAGGAAGGAAGGGACATTTAACGGCTGAACTGCAGGAGTCTAAGCATTTAATCAAAGGGAGGAAATGTCTCCTTCCTGCATTTACTCCCAGTCATGCTCTTCAGTCTAAGTGTACTCAGGAGAATACATCACAAAACATCCCAGTAAAGAAGTTTGCTTTGTGTAATTCTTAGCTGCTAAAGAAACTCTGGCTTCTAAAAGGGTCAATTATGCAGATAAACCTAAAAGTTAAATGATCAAACTCTGTTTGACACATCTTACTTTCACACTTTGATTGAGCACAGTGACTCGATCTCCCACTAAGTTTTCACTAAACATCCACTCTGAGGTTCTTCAGACTTTGTTTTGCCAAGATGTTGAATATTTCTGTTGTTTTATGTAAAAAGAAACAAAAATTGTGCAGGGTTACCAGTCAGGTCTCTCTCTGATTGTTTTTTTTTTTAATCTTTTTTTTACTGTTGGTCAGTTGCTGTGAAGTGGAACTGTGCCAACAAGCCACTTTTAAACACTAGCAGCAGCTAGTTAAAAATTTAAAAACCTCAAATAGTAAACTAAACTGCATTTCCTGTTTTCCTGTTTTGAGAGTGTGGCTTGCTTAAAAATAATCTGTAAACACTCGTTGCCAAAATACCTCCAGTGTCAGCTAATCAACATATTTTTCTTACTGGTCTGTGAAATGTTTAAAATAATTTCTGTTTTTATTTATTCCACACTGATTTAATTTATTTTATTTCAGGCATGATCGGTCATGAAACTAGAAAATCCATTTAACCCACTGGGCTCTGGACAAAGAGCCGGGTTTGTGCTGAGGTTTCACTCATCCATCATTTGAAATGTTCCTGTTGGTTCCGTGTTCAGGAGCCACAGCTCTACAAACCATGCATGGAAAGTCAACAGTGTTTCCCAGCTCTGAGGTGATAAAGATGGTGTACCTGTTACTAAGAAATGAAGCGTGTGTAAACTTTTAACTGGTGTTATATTTTGAACCTGTAACATGGTGGACTAACAGACTGCTGTTGTCTTGGTATTCTAAAAAAAAAAGGCCAAAAGGCCATGAGTGAGCAGGATAAAACATTTTAAAGTCAGTTTATGATCTCCCTAATAAAGTCGCATTTAGTTTATTTTAAATGTTTATTTTAATTCAATTTAAATAAGAAAATATACTTTTGCTCATCTATCTGTCCAATTGAATTTTCTCACTATGGTACAATAAATGATGCTGTATTCTATTCTAAATATAAAGAAAAATCAATATTTGGGTTACCTTTTGATTATAATGGTAAACTACACCAATTAGGTCACACTAAATGATATTAGTCAAATGTGAAAACAAGTGTAACTGATGAAATTTTAGTTTTTCTGGATTTGAAAAGTAACTAATAGATATTCTCGGTACTGATCCGTTTTAATGGACTGTAATTACTTTAATGCAACATTATCCTCAATGTCTCTTGAACTACAAACATGTCTGCGCTTACACTGTACAAAAAGAAAGACATAAAGAAGAAAAAAGTCAGATAAACAGAGGGAGCAGAATGAAGTGAGCACTAAAAGAATCATGACTCAAAAAATAAAACCAACATAATACCTGAGGCAGTCGCTCCAAGTTGTGGGATTTTGTTGCATTACTTCATGAATTCAGACAGTTAATAAAAGTGTCAGTGCTCTGCTGAGGTCCTTCATCTTCAGCTGGTTGAGTGTGTTTACCTGAGCCAGCAGCAGCTGCCACACCCTCACCCTGCACCGTCAGTGTTCAAACACAGGTGGAGTTTCAGGAATTCTTATTTAATGAGAGCACCAGAACAGCTACAGGTAACTGGCAAAACAAACAGCTAAACTCAGTTACTGTATATTGGGGCTACGCAGGTTTTACAAGTTCCTAGTTATAAGAATAAATCTTTTTTAGTGGCTTATGAAGTATGCAAAACATGTTTACATTTTTTGCACAAATTCATTCTTGCGTAATGAGATTTCAGTTTGCTCTGGCACCAGGCATTCTTAAAGAGAGATAGTGGACACAATGGTGCACATTTTTGGGGTCATTTTGGAAAACTAACACTCAACCTCTACTCCCTTCTGAAAAGAAAACTCTTAAAAACAAAACAAAACAAACAAAAAAAAAAAAACACCAACTACTGATTTCGGCTTATTCAAGAGGATCAAACATATCTATTTTATTAACATCTTTTAGTCCACTAATAAAATACAAACGGTTCTTTCTGTGTATCAGTGCTGCAGAAAGCCCAGTATCAACAGCTGGGAACCAATGCTGCATAGTTACCCTGGGTCCGAAAACATCCATATATGACGATGTGAGCAGGAAGAACAAAAGCAACCTTTTCCTGTGTGTTTGAGTGCAATCTGTTTAGATGAATTCAGTAAATTTCAAACTTTTACAGACCTGAATGAAGACACCACCACATAAATATTTATGGAACTGGATTTATTGGCTTGGATGAATGGAGCAATCAGTCGACTAACTGAATCAGGAAAGGCCAATAGTTCCCGTTTTAAATGGAGTCGATAATGATCTGAAAGGAGGAAATCAATAGAGTTGCAGAGAAGTCAACATGTATTAAAAAATGTGTTGTTTACATGTAGGGAATGGGTGCAAACAGAGCAGAGAGGCTTCTATATTAATCCTAACTTCAGCTCCTGACTAAACCTTTCAAACAAGAAAAAAAAAGAAAAAAAAAAAAAACCCAAGCATCCTTTCCTTCAGTTAGAAGACAACACAGTCATCTCAGAATACCATCCATCTCTCTGTTCCACAAAAGGGTGAAGAAAATATCCCCATGGCAACTTTAAAGTACTTGCTGAAAACAAAGCAGTCTCACACAAGTCAGCTTTTGTATACCGTCAACACCCATTTTAATATTCTTTTTGGAACACTTAAATAACATGAAACTAATTGTAATTATCCCGTCGTAATGGACACAGGATCACAGGTGGCTTAAGTCAGTGAAAGTCTCGATGCAGACAGTACGCGTCCCGTTTCTCCAGCATCAGCGCCACGGCCGCCGCAGCCTCAAAAGTTGATGGCTTTTCCGAAGGATGCCGCCAGGTTGGCTTCTCTGAAAGCCTCCGACACCGTCTGCAGGACGAGGGCAGAACAGGCAGGACGATGAGCAGCAGGTAAAAATACAACTACAGCTGCATTTCCATTAACTATAAAACTGTGCACATTGAAATTACAAAACTATATTCGCTTAATGGAAACACACCAATTTAAAAAAAAAAAAGAAACTGGGTTAGGATGAGGTGAAGGAACAAACATGAGTGAAGGAATACATGTTTTAGTTTAGTAATAAATACCTTTGAATTGTTGAATTATTTTGATATCAACTTCTGCAGCAAGTCTGATGAAATTCAGCTTCTAATCACAGTTAGTAACCAGTTTTGTAAGGAAGCCCAGCTGATAGCATAGCATCACTGACCAGTGTTAGCTAGTTTGCCACAACTTAGGCCTCACCAGCTTCCCTCAGTTCCTTATGCTAACCCTCTAACTTTAAAAAACATTTTCACTTTCTTACTCAATGCACCAAATTATGCTAGGGAAACTGTCAACATTTATTTCATATTTCTCTCTATATATACTCATATCTTTTGTTGAATCTTGATAGATGTTCTAATGGGTAACAGAACAAACCCAATCTTCCCTAGCGCCTTATCAAATACATTTTGAAAAATAACTTTGAACCAGTGACAGTTGGCATAAGAAATTTTGTCGAGGTACACAATAAAGCCGGTAATTGTTCCATCCTTAAAGGGGCGGTATTGTATATTTTTCTAGCCACATAGTGCCATTTTAAATTAAGGCAAAATCAAATAAGTTATCTTCAGTTATTATAAAAATGCTGCATACATCAAACATAACTTAAAAATAAATTTGACTTTGTAATTTGATGCCTTGAAATTGGGCCTCTGTCTCTTTAAGAAACTCTTTCCGACACTCCGCTGTCAGCACGTCATCATGACAACGCTCCTCATGATGCCATTAGCAACCAGTCATAGGTGGTATGTCTTCGACTACGTCTTAAAATGATACAAAGTAATTTTCCATGAATTTTGAAAATTTAAAATAGATTAAAATGAATGTGTAAACCATTATTCTTATTGGTCTGTATGCCGGCAGGTTTCCTGCTGCTGGGATGAAACCAAGCCCTGGAGTTAAAGTGAGCGTGGAGAAGAGAACGTACTGGATGTGCGTGGCAGACCCGAGCGATGTCCTCACAGGAAGCTCCGTACTCCATGGCCAGAGCAGCTTCATTGACCATCTCTCCAGCTCCCTGCATCAAAACACAAGTATGTCATCAGACCAGGAGAGGACAGCTACAGTTTTATCATGATATTTTTCAGTGCTGTTGTGATAACAATAGAAGTGACGATAAGAACTATTTATTACTCCTTTGTTATGTAACGGTACCACTGCGGCTCTGTGCCACAGCAATTGTAGTCCCACAAAAACAATTACTGTTCTTGAAAAACTTTCCCATTTTGTAATATACATCTTCACACACAAAGGAGTGTAGTTTGTCATTAAACTGCAATTAGTAACTGCATTTAATCATATTTTTAAATGTATTGATGCTTTCTTTGAACAAATGGTGGAGAAAATAGTTTATCTCGGTAATACAGACAGTTTATTTTTTTAAACATCAAATGGAATTTATCGTGACAACAATAAAGCAAAATTATTATTATGATAAGAAATTAATCAGGTTAAATAAGACATTATAAATGCCCATCCCTAGCTCAGATTACAGTGATACGATAAAGTGACACTGATCCTGAATGTCTGGGATTTTTTTATCTCAGACCCTTTCTACAGCGTTTCCGCTCATGTGAACTGTTCTCAACTCTCACCGTTCCCAGGATGTGTGCTCCAAGCATCCGATCCGTCTCCTTGTGACTCAGAATCTTCACCATGCCATCAGTGTCTGCATTAGTCTTGGCTCGGCTGTTGGCGGCAAAAGGAAACTTGCCAACTTTGTATGGGACACCCTGGGGAAAAAAGAGATTTATGATTGAATATCAGTCGTTTGACAAACTGAAAACATGCTAGTGCTAATTAGCATTTTTATCTGATGAACTATTTACCCAGATGCGTCCTTTGCTGTGATTTCTGACACCAAACACATTCATTATTAACTCATCTATCATCAGTATGTTCTTTAAAATGTATAGAATGTTTATCCCAAAACCTCCTGTGAGGCTCGGAACATTTTCTCAACTCTGCCGAAAATGTAAATGAACCAAACGTGAAGCTGGAGCATGATGGGATTCTGACCTCCTGTTTAAGCTGCTCTTCTGTCTTCCCCACCCAGGCCACCTCAGGGTGGGTGTAGATGACGGAGGGAACACAGTTGTAGTCTATATGCACTGCTCCACCAGCCATGCCTTCGATGCAGATGATGCCCTCGTCCTCAGCCTTGTGGGCCAACATCGGCCCAGCGATCACGTCACCGATTGCATAAATGCTGGGGCAAAGAAAAATATTCAGAACCGTTTAGGGTTTCATAACTGCATGCATTCTTTTAGCAGACTTATTTACAACACTGAATACAAACAAAGCCAACAGTGACAGAGTACTAAGCTGCTTCTCTTGGCTCACTGCAGTTTCATTTATTCAAAAGATTATCTGATTGGATGCAGTAAAAGAATGTTATGTTCAAGTTGTGCTAAAAGGAGTGAGCCTGTTGGTGAAGGTATTCAAGCCTAAAATCTCAGTGCTAAACATGTAGCATTCACCTAATCGCTGAATGGATAGAGTAGGACCTTTAAACAATCTGATGGCTGAATAACCTAAATAACAGATTAAAAACAATAAATATCTTGGTTAATATGTCTATTCATTCAATAATTTGGCTGATAAGAGCTTTTGAATTGAAAATGTTGCTTATTGTGTTAATAGTTTGATTAAAATGCAATTAATTAATTAATTACAGACACTCAAATTAACTAAAAAATTTTAATCGAGTCCCACCATGAATATATATTTGGTAATATATAAAATGTCTGTAATTATCGTTCATAAAAGCAGTATTAATATTGGCCCAAACTTTTTTATTGGTGCAAAATAAATACTGTTGGTCTGAACCAGATGTTCACCAGAATACAGGTCATCTCTAAAATTTCATGAACTGTTCAAATATTATTTTAACCTGAAATTAAAGAAAAGGCTGACCAATCCACTGATCTTAGAAGTTCAAAATACTTTCTATTAATTCTAAACTCTAATATGAATAAGTGCATGAAATGTTGCTTGTGGGTGTTGGTCCTGTCATGTACTGGACACTGGTCCATCCCAGCTCTCATTTACTGATTCCTGGATAAAGGCAGCTGCGGAGCATGGACGGGTGAGGTTCAGTACATCAGCAGGTGAAGGGTCATACCCGTGTACTTTGGTCTGGAAGCGGTTGTTGACCGGTATGCGACCTCTGTTATCCAACTCAATGCCGACGCTGTCAAGACCCAGGTTCTGGGTGAACGGCCTTCTGCCGATGCAGACCAGCAGAACGTCACATGTCAGCGTCTCGTTCTTCCCGCCAGCCGCCGCCTCCACTCTGCAACGTCAAACCCTTACGGTTACAAACCATCCGACTCTAGAAGCGTGTTCTTCTTCTCCTCGCCAACTCACGCCACGTCTATCTTGCCGTCAGGCCTCTTGGTGGCCCCCAGGACTTTGGTGCTCAGCTTGAATTTGAGGCCCTGCTTCTGTAGGATGCGCTGGAAGTTCTTGGAGATCTCCATGTCGATGCCCATGCCACCCACGTGGCCTAGGAACTCCACTGCTGTCACCGTGGAACCCAGTCGCTGCCACACGGAGCCCTGCAGCAGGACAGACATGTTGGTGAGAAAAACAAGCAAACAAAATAAGAAAACAGCTGAACTTGAGGCAGGAAATGCATATCAGGCTGAAGTACTGCTAACCAGCTCCACTCCTATAACTCCGGCTCCAATGACAATCATCTCCTCTGGCACTTTGTTTAGGGACAGAGCTCCAGTTGATGACACGATGGACTCCTCATCAATCTAATAAAACACAATAATTGCTTTTAGTAAGAACGAGAAACTTTAAAAGCTCCTTGCAGCTATAAATAAGTGAAAGTGGATTAGAGCTAAGATGGTACCTGGATGCCAGGGAAGGGGGTGACCTCTGACCCTGTGGCGATTAGGATGTTCTTAGTGTTGATAACCTGATGGGAGCCGTCTGCTGCTGTGGCAGTCACCTGATTTTTACCGGTTATTTTACCAAAACCGTTAACATGGGTTACCTGAGAAGAGTAAAGACAAAAAACAGAATAAAGGAAGAAATCAAGTTGTAAAAAAATATATCTGAGCTTTTAAAATGACAAGCAAAGCAACATGAAGTCAGACTGACTTTGTTCTGTTTGAACAGATGTGCAATTCCTCCAGTCAGGGCTTTGACTGCGCCACTCTTCTGAGCCATCATCTTCTCCAGGTTTAACGAGATTCCAGAGACTGACAGAGAGACGATGAGAGACAGCTGAGCCCGTCTGTGTGCATGAGGCCATTACAGCCATATCCAAAAATTTAGAATATGAATTCAACTGAGTCTGATTTATCAGAATAACAGTATATTTTTATGGGGGTGGTATCATGCATTTTCCAGACACACAGTGCCATTTTATACCACAATCAAGTAACTATGTTACCTTCAGTTGTTATGAAAGTTATCGATATACAAATGACTTGAAAGAAATTTGACTTTGCAATTTGACACCTAGAAATTGGCCTCTGTTTCTTTAAGAAGCTCCTAATCTTTCTGACATGCTGCCTTCAGACATGATCACAACAACACACCGCAAAATGAAGATGAAAAAAAATAATAATAAAAAGCATTGATTACTGTTTAGAACAATGGTATCTGTATGGATAGATTCAGATGTACAAGTGTATATTATTTTCATCTCTATTCTTTACATTCAGCTTACTTTCAATGCCTCTGCTTTCAAAGTCTTTGCCGTGTGCCATCTTGTACAAGTGGGAGTTGTTTAACAGAGCCTAAAGAAACAAAAACAGAAACACAGAATAAGAAAAAAAAACTATTGATTCAATACAGCTTAGCTAATTTATGTGGCATAAAATTACTAAATATATCTAAATGCATCTAATCAGACAAACCAGTCTGATTAGTTTGTGCATTGTGTATTCAATTCCACTTTGTTCTCAATGTGTAGAAATTTAAAATATACATATGTAAAGATGATGGGAAATAAAGAGTCTTTATTATTGTGTCAAGAAAAAAATTTAATATATACACTACCACTAGACCCATTATAAATAGAAGTGTTCAGAAAAGCTAAAAACCACCACAAACAAGTGCAAATTCAATTCAAATTTCAAATGTAGCGATACTTCAAAATGTGCATTAAAAAAAAACAATGGAAGCACAGCTTTTGAAGGACCTAAAGTTTCTATAGCCTGCTGCGTCTCTTTTTGCAAAGAGCTTTAATGTTGCATCTCCAGTCTCGTCTGTATGAAAACAAAAATATCCACAGTCCATCACCTCAACTTCTTCTCCATGATGGAAATGGTGTGTACAGTTATTCCTGTTTTCTTGAAATATACAATCTGTTTTATTTACACTCTAGATCAGATGATCATTTCAACAACGGTCCATAAACAGTCTGTCAGTTTGCTGTACTCAGCTTCATTCCACTATTATGTTACAGAAATGTTCTCGGTGAGGTTTTCTGTGAGCAACATAACAGAGAATGACCACATCACCATGGTAAGAGTAAATATGTTTCATATCATGTCCTTTTAAAAAAGTCTCTAACTCTGCTGTTGTCCCAAGATGACCCACGTTGGAACAAAATATTCTGCTCTGTATGTAATCTACACCTTTTTCATTTCACTGAAGGAATGAAACTGCAATCTGAAGCCAGATGCTTTTGTTTTTTGTTTTTTTACATAGATTAGATCTAATTAAATGTTATTTCATATTTTTATTGGTACATGCTTAAGTCAATCTTTCATAATCATAAGAGTTCATCTTCCTAATTTACCTTCTATTTAATTTCATGGTAGTCAAGTTTTTGTCCATTAAAAAAATGACACTGATTAAAATGTAATTTTTGTTTGAGTCAAAATGAACGTGGACTGAAACAGGCCCTTTTTTCTGTTTCTTTCCAATTCTGTATTATATATGCATTCAGAATATTGTAAATTTTTTTGGCAATTTTGAGCTGAAGTGATCGATCTGGAAGAGACTTGTTTGTTACCTTTGAGGGGATGCAGCCAACATTGAGGCAGGTCCCACCCAACGTGGCGTTCTTCTCCACACACACCGTCTGTCGAAGGAATCAAAAAGTTTTTAGAGCAAAATGAAAAAATGCATTTATTCATATAGAGCTCACATCTTCAACCAAAACATCTACTTACTCTACGTGATAGGAGATTTTATTAACCACTAACTAGTCCAGGACCCTGCTCACCTTGAAGCCAAGCTGTGCTGCTTTGATGGCTGCGACGTAACCACCTGGACCAGAGCCAACCACGGTGACGTCTGCATCAACTGCACACAGCAAATGAAGGAACATTTACTCCCAGCAGAACAGAAAGAATAAAGGAAATGTTGTTTCTTTACTACGTTAAAACAGAACATCTCAGTTGGGTCTAGGCCTGTCATGACAACACAATTTTCTGGACAGTAAATTGTTCTGGAAGTTATTGTGATTAAACAATATTAATGTTTTGAGACCATTTTCAAGTAATTTAAAGGTAATGGCACAATGATGTGTGAACACATTCTCAAAGATCAATAAACTTTCAATTCTAATGAAGATTTAACAGTGGAAATGGAAGACATTTTGAATATCCAAAATAAATAAAACAACAATATGAATTATGAAGTCTCTGTAACCTAAATTGTCCTTCAAAAAAGGAGCTGGTTGAGACCAAAGTACCAGATTAAAGACTTTTATCATCCAGGTTTTTGGAGAAAGAGAGAAAAGAGAAAAACGATAAATCATTCAAAAACAAATTGTCGAGTTTTGTTTTTATTTATTATGCGATTAATTGATTTATTGCGGCAGACCTAATTAGGCCTGACACGTCATTTTGCATCACTTAAAGTTGTGCACATGGCAAAAAGATTTATTTTTATTTGACCAAGACTTTTATTCCACTTGCTCCACTAATAAGGTGATAAAGATCTGTTAAACAGGCAGTTCCTCGATCATCTTATCTGTACATTAGAATGGTAGTAAAATCCAGTTTTATAGAAAGCTTCACATACTGGATGTGAGCTTGAATCTTAGTTAGTGATGCCTCATGGCCCAAGGCTCGGAAAAATATTTGTAATGAAGCACATTAAAGATCTAAAAGAAATTTAGAATTTGCTAAAAACCAGCAGATGGAAGCTTTCAAAAACCACAGGCTGGACCTGAACGCAGGTCTCTGCTTAGTGCATCTCCAACAATCATGTGTCTGAAAGACCTTTTGTTTACTAAAAATGGCAAAATTAACTTACTTTCTGCTTTATCAGCATACGTTCTGACAGACAAAGCCGTGGCTCCATGGAGCTTGAAGGGGAGATGGTGACTTCGCTGTTGAGCAAATCAAACTAAAGGTTAAAAACACCATAAATCAGAATATAGTTGTTTTGAGACCATTTTCAAGCAATATAATGGTAATGGCATAGTGATGCAAGTACATCCCCTCAAGGATCAATAAACTTAAATTTTATGTTATGAACATTGAACACTAGAACCTGAAGACATTTTAAATATCCACAATAAGTAAATAAAACAACAAATAAAATGTACACTGAAGTCTCGGTGAACGAAACCGAGCAGCTGTAATCACTGTTAAACTGTTTACCTTTAAGACGACTGTTTATTGATAGAACTTATCTAAATTACACATCATGTCAACATTCAAAACTCAACATAGTAAAGTTAGGACTAACAGGTGTAAAGAGAAGACAGAACCAGCATAGCCAAAATGTCGATACCTTGTCTCGACTTGTAATTTAAACGGTATGATTACGCCACAATTGAAAAAATAAAAAATAAAATTAAAATGTTTAATTAGCAAAATAAACTGATGAATAGTCCAGAATATTAGGTCGCAGGTATTTCACATTATATTACAAGACAGCAAACCACAAATGAGGTACGTTTATTAATGTTCATTTATCAGGCTAACCTCTGACAAAGTATACAAAGATTATGTCTTTATCATGGCGTCTGTTACTGTGGGTGTCCTCAAAGTTTATGCTTTAGAAGCAGGGATAATTGGTACATAACTATAAAGGTCATTCATTTATCATGCTAGATTGATGTGAATAGTATTGAATGGGAGGTGAGCAACAATGACATAGTAAGCATTCATAGTGGTACTGTGTACATTTCAAAACAGTTGCAGAGGGAAACAAACTCGTAAATAAAAATAATAGCCTGGTTAGCTGTTATTTTACATGCCAATCTTGCATGAAAACAAGCCACAGTCTGCAAGAATGCCGATATTATATAACGTTTTACCAAACTTCCAGAATATTAAATCTTTCCGGTGGCAGTGTGAATTGTATACACCACTTTATCGGAGAAACTCTGTTAGCAGAGCAGCTAACCACCCTCAGGCCGCTAGTCAAAACAAATGCCTCCTTTATAAGTCCGCGTGCTGCAGCAGTCGCTTGGTGAACATTCTAACAGAAACCATGCTTATCCTTACCGTGGCGAGAGAACGGTAAAGCTGTGTACAGCTCTGCATTTTGTCTGTGTCCCTGACAGAGAGGAAGTAACCTACAAGAAGGTTAGCCGAGCAAGGAAGGGCTTATGAAATTCTTCTTCTTTCTAAGGACGTTGGCAAACGACTACCAGGTTGAATTACTGCCACCCTTTGGATCGGAGTGCGGCTCAGAAAGGCTTCACAATCACAGATGTAAACTCAAATGTATACCGTTCTCTAAGATAAATACCAAGCCCAGTAATAATAACAACAAAAAACCCCACAAACAATACATAATTAATTAAATAATTAAAATCAGTTTTAAGTTGGTATTTATCCATCTGATTCTGCCAGAAGAATTTTTAAAAATCTGACACTCTCCTTAAGCTAAAAATAAATGCCCTTGAGTGACCTGTTTTAACGGGACACTGTAGATTCATGATGTTCTTCAACAAATGCATAAAGGGAAGGACCAAATGGTTTTCCTTCAGAGTTTTATAGAGGATTCTGGCCTGTATTACACAAATTCCATTTGCAATAATGGATATTGAATGTAAATGCTGCTCTTTCGTACTAATAAGGAACAGTGGCATATGCAAAGACAAATTCACATAGAAGTACACAACACAACCTCTGATCTCACACTAACCATCTTGAACATTTTTTGAGCTTTTAATAGGATTAGAGTAAATCTTCTCAGGATTTCAGCTGTAGCCCTCTGCTGTGTTCTTCTTCGTCTTTCACAGACTGTTGAGTGAAGCCGAACATTTCTCTGGACAAATGAAACTCTAAGACAAAGGTAAAATTTTTCTCCATGCACTTTAGCACACATAGGGTTGAATTAAAAACTTTAAAAAGAATCTGTTTGTATTTGTGTTTATTAAGCATTTAGAAAAGCCTGATAATGTAATGTGTTTCTGCACTTCTGATTCACAGTTCAGGTAAATGGAGCAGATGGTTTACAGAAATGAGATGTGAAAATCTAAAGAAATCAACAAACATATGAGAAACAGAAAAACATCAACCTCCACAATTCTGGTTCTCTTCAGGTAAGAACACAATGGACCATTATTCCGCTTGGGAAGGAGACGGGTTCTGTGTTAGAGATGAAGGTGTGAAATGTATCAATCCCAACCATATTTCTATACTGTAAAGTTGCACTGCATTCTTTGTGATGTTCTGCTTCCACAATGCAATTTCATTAAGTTAGCAACACCAATAATTGACATAATCTTGGAAAAATAATCAGTAAAGAAATATTTTCTGTTAATTACCTAATTTTAACCACTCCTGGTAACATCAATGAAAACTACATTCATCTTGTTTACGCACAAATCAGTCACAAATATTAATGTAACATATTAGTAGTTCCTTGATATTAACTAAGTACATAAATATAGTGATTCAACAGACTGCCTTTTGCAAAATATTTGGCTTTGATTTCAGATTACTTTAGTGTGTTTAACCAAGCTACACAGTAAATTCCCATTAATAAAATTAATGTATCATACATGAAAGTTCACTTCCTTCTGACCTAATGTAAAAAAAAAAAACACAACAGAATATTCCAGGGTTGAAAAAGTCAGTTGACTCTTCCTATCCCTGAAAACTCCTGTAAACTTTGTTAGCTTGGGCTGCTGGATTTGGCTTAACTGCATCCTAATTTCACACACTTATCCAAATGCTGCTTGTAGGTTTAATAATATACTCAAAAGGGTTAATATTATAGAGAATATGTATCCAGTCCTGAACCAAGAGGCCAAATCTTCCCAAAAGCATGCATTAAAAACAGAAAAACTTTTCTTCAAAGTGAATCATTGTTTGACTTATTCCACTACTTTTTTTTTCCAAGCAAAGGGTTTTTCTATCGATCCTTCAGCAAGAAATCTGCTGTTCTGTCAGGACAAAGGGTACAAAACTGTGGAAGAATTGTGGAAGAATGCCGTGAAATATAATATACTTAAAAGGCAATCTCTTATGAGTTATATTAAAGTAAAACCAACATATGTGCATGTATGTTTTGCAGGTCACCAAGATGCAGATTGTCTCCTGGCTTGGACTGTTTCTCTGGTTGCTTTATATCAACGATGTGGGGGCAGCAACTTTTAAACTGGCCCTGGTTGGCCCCTGGTCCTGTGACCCCTTGTTCTCCAGAGCAATGCCAGTAGCTGCAGCTAACCTAGCATTATCACGGCTAAGAAGTGACAGCTACATGAGCAGAGGATACTGGTACGATGTGAAACTGCTCAATGAGGACTGCTCTGTTTCCAAAGGTGTGGCAACCAAATACCGCAGAGTTTTTTTTATCTGCAACAGCTATGTGGAAATGTACAACAGCGTATTAGGCCCATAGTGGATAAAACAGGTGGAGTAAATTTCCACCAGAATATGTCAGAATTTTCTTTTTACAAAAAGAAAGAGGACATTTCTGAGTTTGAAAATTCAAAAATTTGCTAGAAAAAAACGACGACATTTTTAGATTAATCTGTGAAATTTTTGAGAAAAAAAAATGTTCTGAATTTGTTTTCTAGTTAATTTCAACTTTTCAAACTCAGAAATTTCCATGTTTTTGTTTCAGAAAATTTCTGAGATTAATCTAAAAATTTCTGAGTTATTTGGCGGAAATGTATTATTTTTTTCTGGCCCTAATACAGTGAGCCAGAAAAAAAATAGTTTAGTTCACTATCTTCCTACGGTGAGATAGCAAAGGAACGCGTTCACACACTGTTAAAGTAACATTTTAAGGTTGAAATTAAGAACAGTGCAAATCTGAAAATGTCTTGATTTTTCTAAACAATGTGAAAAGAACGACTTAGTGTTGCTTTGTTTTTATAATTCACTTAATCTTGTGGTGTTTTTTAACTCCATCATATCTTAACAAAACCTGTGAAACTTCTCTCCTGTCAGCATTGACTGAGTTTGGGGAAATGGAGGGTTACGGTCATGCTTACATCGGACCTTTCAACCCGACCCTCTGCCACGCAGCGTCCTTATTCACCCAGCACTGGGAGGCAGGCCTGGCTTCTCCAGGCTGTCTGGATGATGACTGGCTGAACCTGCCCCCCATAACGCCTCCTATTAAAGTCCTCAAAACTGTCCTCAGATTCTTCCGCTGGGCTCACGTTGCAGTCATTTCAGGTGAGGAAGTCATTTCATACCACATAGGCCTCAAGTCATTAAAATGGACTTTGCAAATTGAAGTGTAGTTCACAGTTCTTACTAAGGAACTGACCTCAGATCTGGATGGGATTTCCATCCTCCTTCATATGGATCTGTGGATATTATGTGCCCTGTGTGTTTTCAGAGCATGCAGCAGAGATGCTGCATGCTCTGCTGCATGCAGCAGAGCATGCAGCAGAGCATTCTGGGCGTGGCTTATAGCGCCCAGAATTCACAAGATCAACTGTCTTCACTTCCTTCATACAATCCTGTATTACCATCAAAAGTTATTACCTGGCCTCTAACTGGACTTCAATTTTTATTTAAGTAATTGCTAGATGTTATTTGTTTTCTATTTCTTTTACATTTTTGGTGGACTATACATTTTTTTATTTTTTTTTGACAAACACCCTCTCACTTAAAAATGAGGACACTGAACATAACATTAACAAAAGAGATTTCTTGTCTCTCTCTCTCTCTCTCTCTCTCTCTTTTTTCATTCTCAGCCCCAACTGATCTCTGGGAAAGCACTGGAGAAGAAGTAGCCTCTGCGCTCCGAGCTATGGGCTTGCCAATTGCTCCTGTAGTTTCCATGGAAACAAAGAACAACGACGGGGCTCGGGAGGCGCTGAACGAGATAAGGCAGTCCGACAAAGTCAAAGGTTAGCTGTAAAACTCAAATTTCATTCTAGTACTGACAAATAAACTTCAAATCGCCTTATTTAAAACTGTCAAACATAACTTTGCTCAACTGTTGAATTACAAATCCGATTCAAATAATCTCCTCTTCCGAGTGAGACATTATTTTGTCTCTCAGATTTTAAACTCAACACTTTCATGAAAAGATTTGACCAACAAATAGTTTATTATTTTCAGCTGCCATTAGATGCATTTGACTTGACGTGGAATCCAGTCAGCTAATGAAGTTTATTTCCTGTTAAGTGATCATCATGTGTATGAGTTCCGTCCTGATTGGTGGAGAGCATCAGAGGGAACTCCTGCTGGAGGCTCTAGACATGGGGATGATCGCTGACGGTTACATCTTCATCCCATATGACGCTCTGCTGTATGCCATGCCTTACCAGGTGAGACAACTGTTTAATCCAACTCTAATAAACCTAGATGATTTATTATTATTGTTATTGTTTTTACCTTATTTAACTGGGAAAGTCCAACTGAGATTTAAAATCAATTCTTCAAAGGAGTCCTGGCAGAGGTTATAACGATTACAAGTAGTTATACAAATAAAATGCCATAAAAACAATCACAATAAATGTTAATTTTGATTTTCACAGTAAACTGCTGTTGAACTAAGCTACTNAACGATAAATCATTCAAAAACAAATTGTCGAGTTTTGTTTTTATTTATTATGCGATTAATTGATTTATTGCGGCAGACCTAATTAGGCCTGACACGTCATTTTGCATCACTTAAAGTTGTGCACATGGCAAAAAGATTTATTTTTATTTGACCAAGACTTTTATTCCACTTGCTCCACTAATAAGGTGATAAAGATCTGTTAAACAGGCAGTTCCTCGATCATCTTATCTGTACATTAGAATGGTAGTAAAATCCAGTTTTATAGAAAGCTTCACATACTGGATGTGAGCTTGAATCTTAGTTAGTGATGCCTCATGGCCCAAGGCTCGGAAAAATATTTGTAATGAAGCACATTAAAGATCTAAAAGAAATTTAGAATTTGCTAAAAACCAGCAGATGGAAGCTTTCAAAAACCACAGGCTGGACCTGAACGCAGGTCTCTGCTTAGTGCATCTCCAACAATCATGTGTCTGAAAGACCTTTTGTTTACTAAAAATGGCAAAATTAACTTACTTTCTGCTTTATCAGCATACGTTCTGACAGACAAAGCCGTGGCTCCATGGAGCTTGAAGGGGAGATGGTGACTTCGCTGTTGAGCAAATCAAACTAAAGGTTAAAAACACCATAAATCAGAATATAGTTGTTTTGAGACCATTTTCAAGCAATATAATGGTAATGGCATAGTGATGCAAGTACATCCCCTCAAGGATCAATAAACTTAAATTTTATGTTATGAACATTGAACACTAGAACCTGAAGACATTTTAAATATCCACAATAAGTAAATAAAACAACAAATAAAATGTACACTGAAGTCTCGGTGAACGAAACCGAGCAGCTGTAATCACTGTTAAACTGTTTACCTTTAAGACGACTGTTTATTGATAGAACTTATCTAAATTACACATCATGTCAACATTCAAAACTCAACATAGTAAAGTTAGGACTAACAGGTGTAAAGAGAAGACAGAACCAGCATAGCCAAAATGTCGATACCTTGTCTCGACTTGTAATTTAAACGGTATGATTACGCCACAATTGAAAAAATAAAAAATAAAATTAAAATGTTTAATTAGCAAAATAAACTGATGAATAGTCCAGAATATTAGGTCGCAGGTATTTCACATTATATTACAAGACAGCAAACCACAAATGAGGTACGTTTATTAATGTTCATTTATCAGGCTAACCTCTGACAAAGTATACAAAGATTATGTCTTTATCATGGCGTCTGTTACTGTGGGTGTCCTCAAAGTTTATGCTTTAGAAGCAGGGATAATTGGTACATAACTATAAAGGTCATTCATTTATCATGCTAGATTGATGTGAATAGTATTGAATGGGAGGTGAGCAACAATGACATAGTAAGCATTCATAGTGGTACTGTGTACATTTCAAAACAGTTGCAGAGGGAAACAAACTCGTAAATAAAAATAATAGCCTGGTTAGCTGTTATTTTACATGCCAATCTTGCATGAAAACAAGCCACAGTCTGCAAGAATGCCGATATTATATAACGTTTTACCAAACTTCCAGAATATTAAATCTTTCCGGTGGCAGTGTGAATTGTATACACCACTTTATCGGAGAAACTCTGTTAGCAGAGCAGCTAACCACCCTCAGGCCGCTAGTCAAAACAAATGCCTCCTTTATAAGTCCGCGTGCTGCAGCAGTCGCTTGGTGAACATTCTAACAGAAACCATGCTTATCCTTACCGTGGCGAGAGAACGGTAAAGCTGTGTACAGCTCTGCATTTTGTCTGTGTCCCTGACAGAGAGGAAGTAACCTACAAGAAGGTTAGCCGAGCAAGGAAGGGCTTATGAAATTCTTCTTCTTTCTAAGGACGTTGGCAAACGACTACCAGGTTGAATTACTGCCACCCTTTGGATCGGAGTGCGGCTCAGAAAGGCTTCACAATCACAGATGTAAACTCAAATGTATACCGTTCTCTAAGATAAATACCAAGCCCAGTAATAATAACAACAAAAAACCCCACAAACAATACATAATTAATTAAATAATTAAAATCAGTTTTAAGTTGGTATTTATCCATCTGATTCTGCCAGAAGAATTTTTAAAAATCTGACACTCTCCTTAAGCTAAAAATAAATGCCCTTGAGTGACCTGTTTTAACGGGACACTGTAGATTCATGATGTTCTTCAACAAATGCATAAAGGGAAGGACCAAATGGTTTTCCTTCAGAGTTTTATAGAGGATTCTGGCCTGTATTACACAAATTCCATTTGCAATAATGGATATTGAATGTAAATGCTGCTCTTTCGTACTAATAAGGAACAGTGGCATATGCAAAGACAAATTCACATAGAAGTACACAACACAACCTCTGATCTCACACTAACCATCTTGAACATTTTTTGAGCTTTTAATAGGATTAGAGTAAATCTTCTCAGGATTTCAGCTGTAGCCCTCTGCTGTGTTCTTCTTCGTCTTTCACAGACTGTTGAGTGAAGCCGAACATTTCTCTGGACAAATGAAACTCTAAGACAAAGGTAAAATTTTTCTCCATGCACTTTAGCACACATAGGGTTGAATTAAAAACTTTAAAAAGAATCTGTTTGTATTTGTGTTTATTAAGCATTTAGAAAAGCCTGATAATGTAATGTGTTTCTGCACTTCTGATTCACAGTTCAGGTAAATGGAGCAGATGGTTTACAGAAATGAGATGTGAAAATCTAAAGAAATCAACAAACATATGAGAAACAGAAAAACATCAACCTCCACAATTCTGGTTCTCTTCAGGTAAGAACACAATGGACCATTATTCCGCTTGGGAAGGAGACGGGTTCTGTGTTAGAGATGAAGGTGTGAAATGTATCAATCCCAACCATATTTCTATACTGTAAAGTTGCACTGCATTCTTTGTGATGTTCTGCTTCCACAATGCAATTTCATTAAGTTAGCAACACCAATAATTGACATAATCTTGGAAAAATAATCAGTAAAGAAATATTTTCTGTTAATTACCTAATTTTAACCACTCCTGGTAACATCAATGAAAACTACATTCATCTTGTTTACGCACAAATCAGTCACAAATATTAATGTAACATATTAGTAGTTCCTTGATATTAACTAAGTACATAAATATAGTGATTCAACAGACTGCCTTTTGTAAAATATTTGGCTTTGATTTCAGATTACTTTAGTGTGTTTAACCAAGCTACACAGTAAATTCCCATTAATAAAATTAATGTATCATACATGAAAGTTCACTTCCTTCTGACCTAATGTAAAAAAAAAAAACACAACAGAATATTCCAGGGTTGAAAAAGTCAGTTGACTCTTCCTATCCCTGAAAACTCCTGTAAACTTTGTTAGCTTGGGCTGCTGGATTTGGCTTAACTGCATCCTAATTTCACACACTTATCCAAATGCTGCTTGTAGGTTTAATAATATACTCAAAAGGGTTAATATTATAGAGAATATGTATCCAGTCCTGAACCAAGAGGCCAAATCTTCCCAAAAGCATGCATTAAAAACAGAAAAACTTTTCTTCAAAGTGAATCATTGTTTGACTTATTCCACTACTTTTTTTTTCCAAGCAAAGGGTTTTTCTATCGATCCTTCAGCAAGAAATCTGCTGTTCTGTCAGGACAAAGGGTACAAAACTGTGGAAGAATTGTGGAAGAATGCCGTGAAATATAATATACTTAAAAGGCAATCTCTTATGAGTTATATTAAAGTAAAACCAACATATGTGCATGTATGTTTTGCAGGTCACCAAGATGCAGATTGTCTCCTGGCTTGGACTGTTTCTCTGGTTGCTTTATATCAACGATGTGGGGGCAGCAACTTTTAAACTGGCCCTGGTTGGCCCCTGGTCCTGTGACCCCTTGTTCTCCAGAGCAATGCCAGTAGCTGCAGCTAACCTAGCATTATCACGGCTAAGAAGTGACAGCTACATGAGCAGAGGATACTGGTACGATGTGAAACTGCTCAATGAGGACTGCTCTGTTTCCAAAGGTGTGGCAACCAAATACCGCAGTTTTTTTTATCTGCAACAGCTATGTGGAAATGTACAACAGCGTATTAGGCCCATAGTGGATAAAACAGGTGGAGTAAATTTCCACCAGAATATGTCAGAATTTTCTTTTTACAAAAAGAAAGAGGACATTTCTGAGTTTGAAAATTCAAAAATTTGCTAGAAAAAAACGACGACATTTTTAGATTAATCTGTGAAATTTTTGAGAAAAAAAAATGTTCTGAATTTGTTTTCTAGTTAATTTCAACTTTTCAAACTCAGAAATTTCCATGTTTTTGTTTCAGAAAATTTCTGAGATTAATCTAAAAATTTCTGAGTTATTTGGCGGAAATGTATTATTTTTTTCTGGCCCTAATACAGTGAGCCAGAAAAAAAATAGTTTAGTTCACTATCTTCCTACGGTGAGATAGCAAAGGAACGCGTTCACACACTGTTAAAGTAACATTTTAAGGTTGAAATTAAGAACAGTGCAAATCTGAAAATGTCTTGATTTTTCTAAACAATGTGAAAAGAACGACTTAGTGTTGCTTTGTTTTTATAATTCACTTAATCTTGTGGTGTTTTTTAACTCCATCATATCTTAACAAAACCTGTGAAACTTCTCTCCTGTCAGCATTGACTGAGTTTGGGGAAATGGAGGGTTACGGTCATGCTTACATCGGACCTTTCAACCCGACCCTCTGCCACGCAGCGTCCTTATTCACCCAGCACTGGGAGGCAGGCCTGGCTTCTCCAGGCTGTCTGGATGATGACTGGCTGAACCTGCCCCCCATAACGCCTCCTATTAAAGTCCTCAAAACTGTCCTCAGATTCTTCCGCTGGGCTCACGTTGCAGTCATTTCAGGTGAGGAAGTCATTTCATACCACATAGGCCTCAAGTCATTAAAATGGACTTTGCAAATTGAAGTGTAGTTCACAGTTCTTACTAAGGAACTGACCTCAGATCTGGATGGGATTTCCATCCTCCTTCATATGGATCTGTGGATATTATGTGCCCTGTGTGTTTTCAGAGCATGCAGCAGAGATGCTGCATGCTCTGCTGCATGCAGCAGAGCATGCAGCAGAGCATTCTGGGCGTGGCTTATAGCGCCCAGAATTCACAAGATCAACTGTCTTCACTTCCTTCATACAATCCTGTATTACCATCAAAAGTTATTACCTGGCCTCTAACTGGACTTCAATTTTTATTTAAGTAATTGCTAGATGTTATTTGTTTTCTATTTCTTTTACATTTTTGGTGGACTATACATTTTTTTATTTTTTTTTGACAAACACCCTCTCACTTAAAAATGAGGACACTGAACATAACATTAACAAAATAGATTTCTTGTCTCTCTCTCTCTCTCTCTCTCTCTCTTTTTTCATTCTCAGCCCCAACTGATCTCTGGGAAAGCACTGGAGAAGAAGTAGCCTCTGCGCTCCGAGCTATGGGCTTGCCAATTGCTCCTGTAGTTTCCATGGAAACAAAGAACAACGACGGGGCTCGGGAGGCGCTGAACGAGATAAGGCAGTCCGACAAAGTCAAAGGTTAGCTGTAAAACTCAAATTTCATTCTAGTACTGACAAATAAACTTCAAATCGCCTTATTTAAAACTGTCAAACATAACTTTGCTCAACTGTTGAATTACAAATCCGATTCAAATAATCTCCTCTTCCGAGTGAGACATTATTTTGTCTCTCAGATTTTAAACTCAACACTTTCATGAAAAGATTTGACCAACAAATAGTTTATTATTTTCAGCTGCCATTAGATGCATTTGACTTGACGTGGAATCCAGTCAGCTAATGAAGTTTATTTCCTGTTAAGTGATCATCATGTGTATGAGTTCCGTCCTGATTGGTGGAGAGCATCAGAGGGAACTCCTGCTGGAGGCTCTAGACATGGGGATGATCGCTGACGGTTACATCTTCATCCCATATGACGCTCTGCTGTATGCCATGCCTTACCAGGTGAGACAACTGTTTAATCCAACTCTAATAAACCTAGATGATTTATTATTATTGTTATTGTTTTTACCTTATTTAACTGGGAAAGTCCAACTGAGATTTAAAATCAATTCTTCAAAGGAGTCCTGGCAGAGGTTATAACGATTACAAGTAGTTATACAAATAAAATGCCATAAAAACAATCACAATAAATGTTAATTTTGATTTTCACAGTAAACTGCTGTTGAACTAAGCTACTTAAAAAAAATAAAAATAAATACTATAGCAACTTTAAAATAAACCTGTTTAATTTTTAGACCATTTGTGAAAATCTTTTTGATTCAAAGTTTTGATAAATAATATTTCTTATTTGTTCCATCAGGACACAACATTCCCTCTGCTGACCAACAACACCCAGCTGCGTCATGCCTACAGCGCCGTGCTGACCGTTACCATGGCTTCCGATGAGAGTTTCTATGAAAGCTTTCGCCAGGCTCAGATCTCCAGAGAGATCCGCTCCGCAATCTCTGCCACAGAGGTGAAGAAATAAAATGCAACAAAAATATTAGAAAGAAGATGAAGTGATGACGAGTGTAAAAGACATGGGAGTAAGCAGGACACGGTTCGTCACAAAGGTCCTGCAGATGTTTTTTTTTTTTTTTCAGCTTCAGTTTTGTGATTAACTTGCGTTGCGCTGCTGCATTTTATCTGCTTCCCTGTTTTGGTCAACGTATGGA